GACTAAAACTAGACTAAAATGTCATCAGTTTTCGTCGACTAAAACTAGACTAAAATGTCATCAGTTTTCGTCGACTAAAACTAGACTAAAATGTCATCAGTTTTCGTCGACTAAAACTAGACTAAAATGTCATCAGTTTTCGTCGACTAAAACTAGACTAAAATGTCATCAGTTTTCGTCGACTAAAACTAGACTAAAATGTCATCAGTTTTCGTCGACTAAAACTAGACTAAAATGTCATCAGTTTTCGTTGACTAAAACTAGACGAAAATAGTCATGGATAATTCTGACTAAAATAAGACTAAAATGCTCAGACTTTTAGTTGACTAAAACTTGACTAGACTAAAAAGAGTATGAACGTGACTAAAACTAATAAAAACTAAAATGACAGCTTCACACAAAGACTAGACTAAAACTAAAATTAAAACAGGCCTCCTAAAAAAACAACACTACTTCTAGTAATTTTTTAATCATAATCTTGCAATTCTGTATGTTGTTCAATCTGACATTGACCTTTTTAGTTTGCAGATAATTATATCTATAATAACATACTATCTGGATTTATCTGCTCAGCAATGCAAACTAAGCAAAACATCTGGGTTAAAGATCAGGGAGTGTAAACAAACCTGATTCAGGGGTTCTCTGGAACACAGATGCACTCCATTTTCCCTTCTGATCTCCTTGCGAGATACAAATAGAAAACTCATACATGCTGTCCGCAGAGAGCGTGTCAATTATGAGACGTCTCTGAGTGGTGTCCTTGTATTCCCATCGAGCCGATTCTCCTTTCTCTCTGTATTTCACAGTGTAATACCTGCACACACATTAATTCTAAAGCTGAAATATATACTATCGTTCCAAAGTTTGGGGTCACTAATCAGAAAGGACACATTAAATTCATTCACAGTAATGACACAGACACAGTAAAGACATTCATAATTCCTTCAATACAAAAGATTTCTGTTTCAAATAATGCTGTTCTTTGAACTTCTTATTCATCAAAAGTTTCAGAACAAAATATAATATGGTTTCCACAAAAGTATTAAGTAGCACAACTGCTTTAACACCGATAATAATAAGAAATGTTTTGTGAGCACCAAATATGCATATTAGAATTATTTTTTTAAGGATCACACTGTAGGCTGAAGTAATGGCTGCTAAAAATCCAGGTTTGCCATCACAGGAATTAATTATATTTTAAAATGTATTAAATGTAAATGTAGAAAACATTCATTTTAAATTTTTATTCATATTTCAAAATTTTACTCGTTTTACCGTATTTTTGATCAAATAAATGCAGCCTTGGTGAGCATAAGACATCTTACCAACCTTTTTAACAGTAATGTATTTAATGCAGCCAACATACCAATTGGCCCACCATTTTAAAAATGATATAATTCATTTTTACCTGGATCCCCCTGGTATTTCCTTCTTCTTTTCAACAAGTGGATCAACCCATGTGATAAGGACAGACTGGGGAGACAATACTCTAACTGTGATGTCCTCTACTTCATCCACAACCTCCGGCTCTGACATAAAGGCATAAAAAAGTGAGTTAAAATACTGAATATGGAGTTCTGGTTAGCACCACTGTGATCTGTGAAATACCTGTTGTTACTTTTTTATTCATGGTGGCCGTGGTGATGGGTGCACTCCTCCCCTGGGCTCTGGGTGCCTGCAGTGATACCACATAGACGGACTCAGATGCTACGAACAGAGGGGGGATACCAGATACGGCCATGTATCATTACACATTACCTGCTATGAGACATACTGAAGACATCCAATCTGAGGTCTGTTTACAAATATTTTAACCTAGATTTAAATGCATACACTACGTATGTCTCAAACACTATTCCTTTTAGCCTTCAAACATCCAGACTTATGCTTACCCAGTTTGTGCTTGTTAGCATTACGCTGGTCTGCTTGGTGCTGGCTGAGGTCCACTCTGTGTTTGTTTTGAGGTCGCAGAGGGACGCATCCTACTTGATGAGGGGGTTCTGGTCCTGAGGATGACTGAGGGGCCCTCTGCTGTCCTAGTGCTGTCCTCTGAGTTGGGGGCCGTGGGTTAATCTGTGATGAAGTTATAGACACCATCCTGCCTAATGAAAGAGACAGAGCAAATAATGTTGGCACTGGAGTTTAATAATCTGTTATTATTATAATTTTTGGACCAACTTCTGTTGTTTTAAATGTGCTTTAGAAAGAGATCTGTCCTCAGTTGACTTGACTTTAATAAAATGACCTCGTTGTGATAAAACTGTACCATGTTTATTTGACATTATCAAATATACTGGGGTCCATAAAGTCTGAGTCCAAACTGAAAATTTGGGATTCAAAATCTAATTTGAACAAGGATACAAATAAAGTTTTAGGATTTTGAATTATGTAATATACGTTATGACCAAATATGAAGAAATTCAAAAATTTGATTTATTAAAAAAGGTCACATCTTCTTGCTTACAACATTTGTAAAGCAAAAAAGTTGTATTAAATAATAAAAAAAAAAGAATGATGAAGCATTTTCACAAGTGGTCTCACAATTTTAAATCCAATTACACTTCACAGTGGATGACTCATGTTTGCAATCTTAAAAAATAAAAAAAAAATTGCTGGCAAATAACAAAGACACATGGAAAGTGAGTACAGTTACAGGGCCACACAGTTTACAGTCATGTGCACTCTCACTTCCTCTCTCTTATTGCTTTACTGTAATCCCTCATCTGACAGGACTTGGCAGGCCAATGAGACAGTCTTCCTCCTCTCTTTCCTTCAACACACTGCTTCACGTGCATCTCTCTGTCTCTCCCTCTGGTGTGCCGTACATCCCTGAGAGGATAATTAAAAACAGTCCCCCCTTTTTTATCCATCCATCTGTCTTTTTTCGCTTCTTTAGTCATTGATCGGTTGTAGTCAGACTTCCTCATTAGAGTCTGTGCGTAATTTATAGGTTGATTGTGACAGTTCAACCAGTGGCATTGAAACGTTCAGTAATCAATAGATACAATGAACTTGCAAAGTTTCTTCTTGACAGGTAAGCTACACTTTTTTTTTAAGTATTCCTAATATGCTACCTTTTTTTAAAAACGAGTCTATTTTTGCCTGTTGAGACATGTCTTCACTTTCATAGACCTTTACATATATTTATAGCTTTAATATAAATATATGTTGTTAAAGGGTAAGCTTTTTGAAACTCTGAATCAACCAATTACTTTGCAAAATGATTCTGTGTTTCGAAACACCACAGGCTGACAGCACCTGCTGATCAAAATCTCAGCTCAAACATGTATAATGACACTTTACAAATCAATGGCAAATGTTATAATGAAAGTTTAGTCTATTAAATGTAACTCACAAATAATTAAATACCATTAAAATTAAGGTTCTGTAAAATGTTTGTTCTTTTATTAATGTATAGTGCTTGTTTTGTGTGTTATTAGGCAGGGCTTGGCAAACAAATTAGAAGCAATTAAATATCATTCTCCTTTTTGTATTATACACATATTACAATTAAATTAATTAAAAATGAACACACATTGTAAAACTGACCTGAGAGCAGTTCAAAATAAATGTTTCAAAATTTCATGAAGCAGTGTTTTGAAAGCATCCCATTATTAATGTCAGGTCATTTTGAGGACTGAAGAATGAAAATAAAAGGGAGAAAGGGAGGAAGGAGAGGAATGAGTCAATCCTTTATAGCTTCGTATAAAGCGTTTCATATCCTTTATAGCTCAGCCTTTTTGTGAGGGTTTTGGCTAAACGCATGCCTTGCGTGCACACTTAAAGACTGTCTTATGATTGCGCTGGCATCACTTACTCAATACTTAAGCTCTACCAGAATTATTTACACCTAAGTTAATACGAAGTGCCAGGTCTCAAAATGAACTGAAATGATAGTAACAGCAACTCGTTTTCCTTTGTACACACAAACAGACACTTATTCCCACTTCCCATTCAGAGAGTCCAGCCACCACAGCTGAGGCAGGCTCACATATCACTGGCCTTGAAACAGGGGTGAAACATAGTAGCTCACCCCTCTCTAACTCTTTGCCTTTCTAATTGTTTTTACAGTGTCAGTCTTCCAAGTCCATGTCTTGGATCCATGATGCCACATCGTTCTCTTTCCCACCCCTCAGGTCTGATTTGTTCACTGATTGTACGAATTATCTCCATGAATTCTCTCTCTGTGGGAGGTTTTGCATGTGATAACAAGCTCCAGGTTGCAGGAACCAGACCAGAATTACCATGTCCATGTGTGGACAATTTTGGCTCAACAAAATTGAGCTTTTCATGCCACATTCCTGCCACATCACTGTTACATCGCAAAATGACATGAAGCATATGTCTTTTGTTACCCCGGCGGCAAAGCCAGAGAAAAATTAGAGCAACGCTATGGTAACATCATGACAATAGCAATAGCAAAGAACAAACATGGACTGGATAACATTGTGGGAAAACCAAGGGAATAATATAATAATTAAATTTCATTTCTGGAGATGTTAAGGAAGTAACCACAATCAGTATTTCTGTGTCCAAATAATTTTATACATTAGTAAACCGAACATTCCGCAGTATTGTCTATTCTAAATCTATGACAGAGGTGCAAAATTTTGAAGTAGAAAAACCGAAACAGTATTTTCATGTAAAATATACTCCAATAATCTTAGTTTTACTTACAACAGAAACATTTTTTTTGCAGTGTATGCTAGACCATTGATCACATGGAATTTAGTCTGTGGGATTCTCCATTTTATGTGTTTTCATCTCTTTTACTCTTGAGATTGTAAGAAACTAAAACACTCTTCATTTGGTTTTCTGGGATTCCTTCTTCTCTTCGGAGGGCTCACGTGTACAGAGTTTGGCTTCAGATGGGCTCAGTGGATTCATAAAGAAGAGAAATAAAAGTTTTGATTTAACAAATTCACAGCTGACAAACTGCCACTGTCTTTCAGGAACATGGGGTATCAGAGGTCTCTGGCATCCAAACACATGTCCAAACTTAACATGGTTTAAACTTTCTCAAGGGAGTAGCAACATAGATGTTAGTAGTTTGAAGTGGAACTTGCATTCCAAGAAGGTTGGATTTGACATAAAATTGTATTCTCAGTACTTTTTTCTCATAACTCTTTTATGTTTATCTTGAACCTGCTTGACAAAAATCCTCATAAAATTGTTCATCAGTTATAGGCTGGGAAAGTTTTGGGCCTACCTGGAGAGGATCTGTTGAAAGGCTCGACAGCAAAACCATCCAGTTTCACCCACTCTCCCCCTGCAGGAAAAAAGAGCAACGTTATAGGTACCATAACTGTTATTGGCCGATTTTTATCTTTGCAACATTTCTTTAACAACTGTCTTTAACAACATTTAATAACAAGTTATACATTTCATAAAATTTTATTTTTAAAAAAATTTTTTTTAGAAAATCTCAAAATATAAATTTTTCATGCTGTACATTATAATGTTGTTATGCTTAAATTCACTTGTAGCATTTGAAACTATTGATTTTAGTTTAGTATTTTATTTTTTATTTATTTTGATGAAATTGTATAGCCTTATCATAAAAATTTAAATCTGTGCATAATAAAAAAAAAGTAAAACGTGATCTTATCAACTATTGATAAGATGCTTTTATAACTGAATTACTCAACAAAAACTTTATACATAAATGTGTAAAAAACAACAAAAAGCTTAGCACATAATGCAATCAAACAACCAGCTATCCTTAAAACAAGGAGTTGTAACACCAGATATGTTTACTACTGCTAAAAAACAAGAACATTTATGATCTGTTTGCAGGATTATTAATGTGCTTTTCTATTATGACAGATGTTTTGGGATAAGTGCTGTGGGACAATATGCCCAGATCCTGTTTGTTAGAGAGGGACGTACAGAAAAAAAACTTTATGTGAAAAATTTTATGTGGCATGCGTTAGACGAGTGACTGGCTACCACAACACAAGGCTTAAGGCTCTTGACTCAAGCTCTGGGTTGGATACAAAAACAAGGACTGGCCACATAAATGCTCTATCTTTGCTCAATCTCAACAGATGCCAGTTATTTGAAAAACAGAAACGACCATATATCCCTACCCTGCAGTCTACACATGAGTGTGTGTTAGCCATCCAGTCTGGCTTAATATTGTGAAATGAATGAAAAGCAGAGAGCATTAAAGTTATAAATACTTTCCTTGTAAAAACCATATAATAATGTGTGTTAGAGTCTAATGAGTCTAAATTAATGAAGCTAATAAAAGTGTATATTTAGACATTTAATGGCATCCATGCACACTCAGAAAAAAAGGTACAAAAGCTGGGGCAGTATTTTTTCGAAAATGTGACATACCTTTATGGTACTTATATGCACCCTTTAGGGGTAAATAAGGCAAAAATGTGTACTTTTTGAAAGTGTGCTGAAAGAAAAAGAAAAAATGTATCACAAGTTTCCACAAAAATGTTAAGTACCACAACTGTTTTCAAGATTGATAATAATAAGAAATGTTTCTTGATCACCAAGTACAGTAAGCATACAGTATTAGAATGATTTTTGAAGTATCATGTGATACTGATGACTGGAGTAATAGCTGCTGAAAATTCAGCTTTGTCGTCACAGGAATAAATTACATTGTAAAATATATAAAAATATAAAATATTTATTTTAAATTGTAAAAATATTTTACTATATGATTGTTTTTACTGTATTTTCTGAACAAATAAATACACTATTGGTATGTACAAGAGACTTCTTTCAAAAAAATTAAACAATCTTACCGACCCCGAACATTTGAACGGTATAGATTCAATTCAATTCAATTAAAGTTTATTTGTATAGAGCTTTTCACGATACAAATCGTTGCAAAGCAACTTTACAGCAAATTAAGTTTCTACAATATTTAGTGGTAGCTAAATCAGTTAATGTACATATGGCAGAAATGTACGGAAAAATCATTTAAAGACGGAATCAAACAGACGATGAACACTATTAACAGCAATTATTATATGATGCAATCAAACTTATAGCAAAATGTGGTAGTTCTGTATGTTGTTTCATGGTTGGCATCATCTGAGGTTCTCTGAGGGGTTGGCATCATCTCTTCCAGATCCAGACTGAAGCTGGTGAAAATCCTAGTTACTAGATCTCCATAGTTTGTGAATAGTTTAATATTTGATCTTGTAATTAATTCATTTTTGTGTGCAACTTGAGTGTCAACATTTTTTAGGGGCCACTGTATGTATACAATGCTGAGGGATTCCTGTTTTGTTATACTTAAGGAAATTGCCCTAGAAGTAAAAAGTTTGACATCATGTCATTCCAAACCTGTATGACTTCTGGAGAAAATAAAAGAAGACTGAGGTCCAAACAACACTGGACCTCATTGACTTTCAATATATGGACAAAAAACAAGAGACATTTTTCAAATGTGTTCTGCACAAGCAAAGAAATGCATACAGGTTTGGAACAACATAAATGATGACACACTTTTTGGTTAAGTTTAAAAGCATGCATATGTGTTTTAATGTGCATACTGTACTTTATATATTCATGCACCATTGTACAACAGTGAAGAGAACAGAGAGTCATAGAGAAACATGCAGATCTCTATCTACACACACAGGCAAGCACACACCTCCTGGAGTCTCTGCCCTGTAGACGGGTTTACTCATCCCATCCTTATTCTCTGCACTCATCTTGAGAAAATGCAGTTCTCCAGGCTCTAAAACAACACAACATGCACATGAGAGCCTGAAATAGTGCTCAAGTACTCAATGTGTGTCTCTAGCTTTTTCTTTAATGAATGAATGATTTTCACTCTTACCTACGTCCTCTAGTAACTCTGACCGTCTGTCCTTGTCGACAGTGACGAAGCACAGTGACTTCATGGACTTCCCGTAGCCGATGCTGTAGCTATCAACAGGCCGTCGGTCCAGCTCGCTGGGTGGATCCCACGTGACATTTAACCCCTTATCCACCGAGGTCAGCTTCACATTGCGTGGCGACAGTGGCTTAGAACCTGGGAGAGAGTACAGTTGTCTGTCAGTCACATTGCAGTTACAGTCTGGTGAGTTCATTTTTGCAAGATTGCAGTTGCTAAGTTCAGCAAATCAAGAATTAACTATCTTATAAGCTACTGTTAGACTAAGTATGTGATATTGAGGGTCACTGTCACAAAATATATCCCAAATCAAGACCACAAAATGAAGCAAAGAGGTCTTGTATAACCTTGAAGGGTTTTATTTTGCAATAATGCCCGACAGACTACACAATATTCCACGTATTAGAGAGCAATGCAGGAAATTGTCCTGGAACAGTTATACAGTTTCAATATGCTCAACATTTGACCAATGAATGCATGCGATTATGTGATTGACCAATCAGAATTATGTATTGCAGAGGGCCATATATCAAGTGAAAATTAAACTAAATTGTAAACTTAGCATGAATATTCGCTTAGTGGGAGTCATAGTGTTTAATGTAGAGCTATTGTACAAGTTAACTTACAGCTTGAACAAGAGCAATAAGGTCTACAGCCTTCAGTTAATCAAACTGGAAACTGTCTGAAGTTCTTTAGTGTGCTCAGGCTTTTATAACCCTACTTAGAGTTGGAGTGAGAAAATCTCTCATCACTGTGCCTGTTTACTGTACAACAGTATGACTCTGGCATAAAGCCCAGTGAGAGAGATCAATCTCTATCATTTATTTAATCGTACACATGGACATATGCCTCTCGGTCACTGCTTTATAATGTAATATTGGCAATGGAACATCCCTCCACATAATCTGGAACCACATCCCACATGTCATTGCAATTACAAACGCACACACACAGGCCACAGAAACATCAAACCTCAGTCTGTGACTTGGCCCATATTAAAATTTATGATGTAGGGTGGGTTCACATTTTGATTAAATCAAGACTTGTAAAACACAAGAATTATATACTGAATTTTATACTGGAGGAAACTAACTGAGGCTCGTATTAGGGAGTGGACATCACCTAGATCAGTGGTTCTCAAATTTGGGTAATTCTGCAGTCAGTAGTAAAAAATAATTAACTGTGATTACTTTTATGATTCCAGAAGTTTTAAGAACTGTTCCTCAGTTAATCAGTTAAGGACATTCTCAGCAATAAGTATGTTTTCCATTCTTTTCTCAAACATTCTTTTTTTTTTAATTAAAACAAATAATTTTTTGTTTTTAATTTGCAGTAATAGCTGGAAATGTTATAATCTAACTTCATGACAGCTGTAAAAAAAATAAACTTTGTAATTTTTAACCCATTCTAACTGATGTTTCCAAGACTATCACAATTTGCTATCGCAATTCTGACATGTCGATGTAAGCCAGTTAGATTGATGACATATTTCCATCAGCAGAATTTGCAAATCAGTGTTTAATAAATCCCAGAAAATTAAATATTTAAAATAGCAAGGCATAAATTCACATGCACATACTTAAAACAAATGTAAGATTGTTGGAACGTAAGAACTGTCCCAATAGCTGTCCTGAAGCTCTTTCACACTGGCCCTGGGCCATTGTCCATTCCTTTATTAGGAAGGTGAAAGTAAATGCCCTGTGGTCCTTTGTCACTTCTTTTGGAAAGACCGGAAGGGCAAGCACCTGCTGCTCTGACATCATTTTCTCAATGAAAGGCATAAACAAACTCTCACAAACATACTCTTTGCTTATTATTTTCATTCAGGTGCCTGGAGGACATTCAAACAAATGCAAGAAGCATTTAGAGTGCATTATTGTTTGAGACAACAATAGCTTAGTGCTTTTAGATAGCCTGAGCTACAAAATTTCCAGGTGTTTCGTAGGAGGGAATCTGATGAAAGACAACGCTCTAACACCTGAGTGACAGGTTGAGCGTGGGCATTGTGCCAACTACATGCTGGCGTCTTGTACCATAGCACACTGCACTTATCGACAGATTGAGTTTCTAAACCCTCCAGCCTTGCCTACGTCAATCAAAGACTTTCCACAAATTCCTTGATTAAAATCTGAGCAAGATTAAATTCCAGTAGCTGGTCAGGGCATGATTCTTCTCTTCCTCTCACTCTCTGGCAGAGCTCTTACCTGACAACATAAGCTCATTCTTACCGGAATATCAACAGACTTGATGTTAAAGTCCAGGGTTGTGGAACAAAACCCTGAAACTCATTCCTTCCAATATATCTTTTATCTGTCAAGCAGATGTCTGGAATGGTTTTGAAGCTGCAGTTGGGCACCATTCGAAGATCTAGAAGTGTTTTTTTTTTGTTTTACTGTCTACATCAAATCTGAGGAGCTGGTGGCATCAAGGTTTAGTTGTGTTGGATGTATTTTGTTTTGTTGAAGATGGAGAGAGGAGGAAAAGAGAAGAATACTGGATAAAATGCAGCTGCTGATGGCAGTCCCCGGCTGCACTGGGGTGACCTCATTTAAAGAACATTTCCAAAACACTGAGAAAGAGCAAGTGAGAAAGAAAAAGGCCCGTAACGTGGCAGCTAAAACAGCTCAGTAGGACTTAGCTACCACTTTTCTTATCCAAGATTCCTCTGCTCTATGCACTGCATTCTCCTCAGAATTAGGAGGGAGAGGCAGAGTGAAAGAAAGATGTGGAGAGAGAGAGAAAACGTGGCTAAAATTGATTTGAACAGCTGAAAGCAAAAGAATGTCAAAAACATCTGTGACCTTTTAAAGAGGTTAACTGTACTTCCTGTCCTGGCTCTAATTTGATAAATCACTTACTAAGAGCTGCACTTACAGCCCATCTATCTATCTATCTATCTATCTATCTATCTATATATATATCTATCTATCTGTCTGTCTGTCTGTCTGTCTGTCAGTTCATCACTGAATTCAATGATGAACTGTTAACTGAAAATTGAGTGTTTACTATTGTCATTTTGCATTATTGACACTATTTTCCTAATTAATGCTGTACAGTTGCTTTGACACAATCTGTATTGTTAAAAGCACTATATAAAGGTGACTTGACTTGACTTGACTATAGGGAATCCAATCGGGAATCCAAATTTGGTCAACTGATTTTGAATACATATAACTTATATTTTTGCAACTCTGCCAGGTTACAGAAATGATCACACACACACACACACACACACACACACACACACACACAGACAGAATAAATAGATATTTAAACTGTATGTTTTACAACACTACTGGCAACCTCTACTAAATTAGCTACAGAAATTAATTACAAAGGTGACATTACCATCAGTCGAAGTATGTTGTACAGTAAGTATTAGTCTCAATTATACACACACGCACATGTAGACATAGGTGTCATACTTCTATGAACACCTTTTTGGAAACTGATTCAAATTGCTAAAAAATGTACTTGTTTTTAAAAATATAAAGCAAAGCAAGTACACTTTTTGAAGTTTGTGCACCTGCTTGTGGCTCAGCTGTTCAATCACTGACTCACCCATCATGCATTAGCCCATTAGTGCTTGAAATGTTTAGTAAAGGTTTGGCACATGGTTTCCACGCAAAAACAAACAGGACTTAGACATCCAGATTCATAAACCGCAGGTGATGAATTCAATAGAGCCATTTGTCATAAGCACAAGATGACAACATCATTACAGAAAGCCCTGGCAATTATAGGCCTACTAGACAAAAATATACTTAACAATTTATACTTTAAAAATAGTTCTAAATTTAAATTCTACATAATTACAATAAAATTCAAAGTTTGATTTTGTGAATTACTATTTAAAAAGAGATAAGCAGATTGACCTACCCGACAGTAGTGGGCTCTGGGTGCAGAGTGTGACCAGGAGCCCGAGAAGAGCTCGTGCCCGTGCAGGAGACATTGCAGACAGTGCTTCAGTATTACGGCGATCCGCTACACTGAGGGAAGGAAGGTCATCGGATGCTCCGCTGCCCGCTACCGTCAGTCTGTGCGCTCTTTCCCAGACGTTGTCTCCCTCTTCTGGGGACGAATGGGACTTGGACTACCCAACTATTTCCAGAACAAGGCGATTGAAAATCTTTGGAATCACACTTCCTTTCATGTAGAACTCACGTATCGTGCTGTTTATTTTTATAGCGTGTTTACCCAAACCTTATTCTGTACTCGTAGTAATACTTAAGCGTAATTGGTATATTACGTTATAGCTATTGTATTTAATAAGCACTGTAATTTATATTCAGCTCTAAAATTATAGATAATAAATTCTATGCGCATGCGCGCAATTTGGAATTCGGCTAAGGCGCGAGAATAGCTACAGGTAGCGTTCAAGACGTTCACAGTTTGAGAAATTGTATTTTTTTTTTCACCCCATTTCTCAAGAAATAGGTGAAAGAGCAACCAATATGTTAAGAAGAGAACTACCACGAAGGAACAAACAGCAGTTATTTTTTGTAGAGGTAATATGGGAGTTTACAATTTGGTTCAACAGTAACACATCTATAAATTTGAGTTTTGTGTCTCATGCTCTAATATATAGCAAAGCATTTGTCTGCTACACATGAACGTTGTTTAGAAACCTGAAACTTTTCCCGAAACTAAATTAATGTCAAAGACAAAGATGTGTCAAATGAGCAAGAGTACCTGCTGATTCAAATGATAGTTCTGTCATTTAACATCCATTGACGTGCTCGCAAAACAAATTCTAAAAATAGTAGGCCCATACGTGTCATTTTTTTAACCTCAAAATTGTCCTGTAAATTCTTTATATTTGTACAATTATACTATCTCATTTCAGGGAGGTGGCAGTCATGTGTGACAGTGATAGTGACCTCTAAAATAAATTATTTTTTATAATAGGTCAAAGTCTAAAATACGATTTTAAAGTGTAGGTTACCCATGCACTGCAAAGAACAAATAGCCAATGGATCATTATCATATTGGCTTTAAAACATTGTGATATAAAGACATTCCTGTCCTATGGAAGTAGGATATTTAAAAAAACAACAGCAGCTCTAGTTTCGCTTGTACATAAATTCTTTATGACTCCAGAAACTACCCAGCAGCTAAATGTGAACATAACTGAACATAAAACCCCTAGAGACTGCAGAGCTCCAAGTACAGTTAACCCTGAGTAATGCATCAGCAAATTAGACTCCATCACAAACAATCACTGGACAGCCATAGTCTCAGGGGACCATGAAGAGGCAATTAGATCCGTGTAAGATGGAGGACTGAGAGAGAAAGAGAAGGAATAGGAGAGCCAAGACCTGTTTTAGAGATCACACTCAAAATTAGCCCTATTTATTTTAATGCATGTTAATTATAAACAATTAATATATTATTTAAACAATTATATAATTAAATATGATATACATAATTAACACACAAACACACATATACATAGGGTGACCAGACGTACCGTTTTTCCCGGGACAGTCCCCAGGGCCGTTTTAACCATTGGCCTAGGCGGGGCTGAAGCCCCGGGGCCCGAGCAAGGAGGGGGCCCGTGATTGGCTGTGGAGTAGATTGACTGGAGCGCCGATCGCCAAAGTCACCACGCCCCCCACTTATTAGCGCTGTTATTTAGTTGAGCTTTTCCGTAAATTCCATGCATTACCATTTGAGATTGAAACTAAAGTCTGAATTTGGTTTACCAATCAAATGCATTTATTCTATATTTGACTTTTGAACGATATGCGCACGTATCTATCAGGTGATTGCTGCCCAGTATGTCTGCATTCACCTCTCTTCACTGTTCTGGAGTAATCTGGAAATGGTCGCGCAAACAACAACATTCAATAAGTAAAAATGTCAGCAATTCTAAAAGAGAGAGGGGCTCAAAAAATGAAAAACTTCAAATACAAACAACATAAAAAACATGACAGCTATCAGGTTATTTTACTAAAGCTGATGATGGAGTGGAAGTTGCTGGAACAGCAACTGAACCGGGCACACGGAGCAGATAAAAATTGTCATCGTCCACACAGATTTTAGGTTAGTTTGATTATTAACTGGATTTATATTGCTTTTGTGTTTGAACAAACTATATTCATTTAAGGGCTGGGAGATAATCCGGTAGAAATATATCAATCGTTGATTGAAGCGCGTCATGATGTAGTCTAAAAGCTTATAATTTCAAGGCGTTTTAAGCAGGTTTTAAAACAAACGGTTTATACTGTTCATGGACATTATGCTGCAGGGCAGAATTCATTCAGGTAAGTGCGTGCGTTAAAACGGTTTCTACCTGATACACCTGCTCGTATTACTGACTAAACTTTCGCTCCTTGTGCTTAAACGGTCAAATACACAGTTATGTGTCAAAATGCCCGTCTTTGCGAGTATCCTCGTAAACACAGTTATTTGTGTCTTAAATATATATCATTATTGTGATGGGGGGCCCTGCAGTAAGTCATAGCCCCGGGGCCCAGTGCGGTCTTAATGCGGCCCTGACAGTCCCGTATTTTAGCTCTATTTTTAGTGTCCCGACTTATTCATGTTTTGTCCCGTATTTCAAAATTTCTTTACTACTGGGTGATCAGAGCAAGTAGGCCTATTAGTAGCTAGTGTTCTGTCACGCGAGAATAGACTAATCAAAGGTAACTAAGCTTGTCGTAGAACAAAATTACCATCCAATCACAATTCGTTATCGATTAACTTGCAGTAAAGTGAAGGCGGGATAGATAGGCGGAATCACGCTGAATGACAACAGAAGCGCTATCTCAGCCGCGCGATCTCGGTTCTGCGATCAGTTCTTCTTGCGCCTTACAAACACTGCTGTCAAAATGTCCATCGTGTGGAGTATCTCACGTAAATACAGTCGGTTATGGCTTAAGTGAACGTAAACTGGTGGGTGAAAACCGAATATGTGTCAGAATATTACATTCATTCTGTCTTAAAGGGACAGCAGCCTAATTAAATACCTGTCTGTCTCATTAATGTTAATCAAACAACAAAAGATGTTAAATACATGTATACATGTTAAACCTACTGTATTAGAAAAACGAGTGTATTTAATATTTAATTTGTATCTATTGTATTTGTCTTATGGTTTGTAATTTGATTCTTTATTTTTATATAAAAATAACTACAGGTGTAGCCTATATATAGGCTATATTAGATATCATGAAATACAATTTCTCATATCGTCATATGTCACACACACAAACTGGCCCATATTGAACCTTGAGAAATCTGGTCACCCCACATATACATGACCTCGTTCTTTAATCAAAATGTCATAACTTGCTCTTCTTTGCTTTTTGCCCTTTTTTCTTGTTAGATGAGCAGTTTCACTCATAAATACATTACAATATGGAAGTCGTTTACAACTTATCGCGTTTCATTCTGACTTTAAATGTGTCATATAGGCACATACTGAAGATGCATATTTTACTTTCTTGGTTCTCACTTAAAAGATAACATGTAAAGTAGTTATTTTAATTAAAATAGCTATGGTTTAGTAAAGTACATTTCTTACACTGACTCTGGAGGGATCTTCTCAGCCTCTTTTACTCTTTCACTGGCATGACAAAGTAATTGACAGGCTGCACAGTGCCAGTCTTATCTTTGTAATAGCCTATTCCCTGTGCTTCTGTGACAACTGGGGAAAAGAAAGTCCAAAATGTCCATGACTAATCAGTGAGATAAAAGATATCAGTTTAGAACATGATCTACAGTCACATCTTAACGCTTATTCTTACCATGCTGAAGTCCTTGATCTCCTTCTGCCTTTTGAAATCAATGTTGTACCGGATCCAGTAGGGTAAGATAGCCCTACTGTCTTGCGTATGGGAGCTCAGAGGCACACTACCCTTATTGTAAGGGTTTTTGCTAGAGGCCATCGTGGCAGATCGGATGTTTTGAAAGTACTTTAGGGTCGAATTGGCAAAAGTCTCCCCATACAGGAATTTAGTAGTGGGAATGTGTCCACAGTACCTTTAAATGATTCAGCAATTGCAAAATTAACAGGTGTTGTAATATTGTTTTATGACTACCTGCACCAAGGTCAGAAATTAGCCACAGAAAAAGGGTTTATTTCAATTAATTGATTTATATATTTAACATTAAGAGATAGCACACAAAAAAGAAAAATACTCTCATCAAGGTCCCTGATTGTCAAAACTTAACCCTGAAAAAAAAAAAATTCAAGGTGACAAATATTGTTTAAAAAAATTCTGACACTGCCCTCCACACAACATAAGAAATGAGCTGTATTTTTACCCGGGCATCAAAGACGATGGGATGTAGGCTGTGTTACGCGAAACGAGAGTCCCATTTCCTCTGAAAGTCATGGTTGAGTAGATAAGAATACTACAATATTATCCGATCATAAGCTGCTGGGCGTCTAAAGCTGAACTGCATCACAGATAAAACAACCAAACGTTGCCTGGCAACCATTTTTTTCAGTATAGACTAGCATACGTTTTTATTAATAGCTAGTCTGTCAGTTTTTCTCTAATATAGAATATATAAAAACTATGATTTTTGCCTCCAATAATAATAAATCTGGTAAGAAGCTTTTGGGGCGTATGTGGTTTCTGCAAGAATCCGCCCCTGAGAGAGTTTTGACTGTGAGCGACTGCCCCCTGCTGGCGTCATCCGTCATCACATTGCGCTCGAGCGGAGTGGCGAGGCGCATCGCAGAATGAAGGAGTCTCGGAGCGGAACTGACGAATGTACATGTGCGCATAGTAAAGCGAGAAAAAAATGAAAGCTCTTTAATTATTAATTACTCTTTTCATGTTATTCCGCACAGAGGATGCAGTCTATACGATGAGAGGATTCTTCCTGGTTTTATGTAGCGAAAAAAAGCAGTTAGGATATGATTTTATAAGAAGTTATGCAGCGTTGGTCAAGATAGATGCGCGATCTTTGTGATTAAACATTTTTTTATTCTATCTTAGTCTTTTGAT